TTTGCAGGCAGAATAATATTAGAACAAAAATTGAAAGGTTACATACTTTGGTCATATAAAAATATTTCTCAGATAGTTTTTAAGTGGCTCAGAGGTATAAAATAACTTTCTAATCAAAAAAGGGTCTCTCCAGATTTTAAAAATCACCTCATTACTGTGAGAGATGGGTAACATGTTGGAGCTCGGTCTGAGGTTGTTTTTTTTAGTTGATCTTAGTTCCAAATCTGTGTTTCTGTCTTAGAGTTTTAGTTGATTTAAAAAATCTGTTCTACGGGCGCCTGGGTGGCTCAGTCGGTTAAGCGGCCGACTTCGGCTCAGGTCACGATCTCGCGGTCCGTGAGTTCGAGCCCCGCATCAGGCTCTGTGCTGACAGCTCAGAGCCTGGAGCCTGTTTCAGATTCTGTGTCTCCCTCTCTCTCTGACCCTCCCCCATTCATGCTCTGTCTCTCTCTGTCTCAAAAATAAATAAAAAACGTTAAAAAATTTAAAAAAAAAAAGAATCTGTTTTTAAAAAAAAAATCTGTTCTAATCTAATGCAACCAGTTTTTTTCTGATGGGATATTGATTGTAACTACTTGATAATTTAAGTTTAGCTATAGTTTATTCTGAGAAACTATAAGAATACATTGTTTTCATGAATGTGTCGCTAATACATACATCACTATTATATCATCCTCATGCTGGCTTAAGGAATAAAAAGAATTAAAACAGTGTCAATACCGTATTAGATTTCATTTGCATTATAAGAGGGCTAATGGGAATGTAAAGGTTGTAACATGTTGACTTTAGCTTGGAAAATAGGAAAAGGTTAAAGTTGAAAATTATAATATTGATTGTGTATAGCTTGGTGTTGAGATTTTGTTTCTAAAAATGGAATTCTTCACCCCTCTTCTATAGGCTATTCACTCTGTTGCTTGGCATCATGAGGGAAAACAGTTTATTTGCAGTCATTCAGACGGCACCTTGACTATATGGAATGTGAGGTCCCCAGCTAAACCTGTACAGACAATCACTCCACATGGTAAGAATGTATCCCTTTGAACGCTACAAAAATTGTGTACATTAAACTGTTTTGAATTTGGATTTTTTGTTTTGTTTTTGAGGATAAGGGTGAGGGTTTTTTTAAGGAAATTAAAAATATATACGCATATGGAAATAAAATGTAACAACCAGCTAATAAACTCTCTAAGTGTATTTACAGTTGATACTTAAAATTTGAACTTTGAGAAAATGAATGGCACATTGTCTTCTGAATATTGTTTGTCCAGTAGTCCAAAAAGTGAATAATTTTGTGAAAGATATAGGACTTACTTTAAGCCTTTCTCATCTTAAAGTTATCACTTGCAAGTTGCATGCAGCTTGTGTGTGTGCAGCTTGTGTGTGTGTTGTGTGTGTGTGTGTGTACTGAAACACTTTGAACTCTACATAAGGTAATTTTATGCATTGAAGAATTATGTCAAAGGTTCCGAAGGTCACCCCAAGTTTGATGATTTACTAGTGAGCCTCCCAGGACTCAGCAAAGGGATGAAGAGTAAAATCAACAAAGGGAAAAGGTACATGAGGTAAAGTCTGGAGGAAGCTTCCAATAGCCCTCTCCCAGTGAAGTGACACAGGACATGTTTACTTGCTCTAGCAATGAGTTGTTACCAGATATGTGAAATGTTGTCTAACATGGAACCTCATATGAGCCCAGGGGTTCGGAGTTTTTATTGGAGTCTCTCCACCAACACTTTCTGCTTTAGCGCATACCAAAATTTCAGATGCCCAGAAAGAAAGCAGGGATTCGTCATAAATTGTTTTGTTCATACAGACAGCTTAGGCACACTGTGTCACCCTTATCAGAATCGGAATTGTGGAAACCATCTCAAAAGCCAGTTACCAGATGCCAACCAAGAGCTAACCCTGCAAGCCAACCTTTCTAGGGATAGCAGTCTCAAGCTTGCTGTGTTAATTCTTTTCTGCGCAAGCTCTACTGACAGAACCTCTTAGGAAGGTTTTATTAGGGTGTTTATGAAGAGATTATGAAGGCCTTCTTTGAGTTTTGAATGAAGCTTAGGAATTTGTATTTCTTTATTAATCTGCATTCTCCAACCACCCTAAGAGATTCTTAACCAGTGAATTTAGGGAGATTAAAGGAATTGTTCTTTTTTGGTAGAATATTGAAGAATATCCTGTAGTATTGCTAATATTTTATTGTTTGCTTCAAAATGATCAGTTCCTACTTTAAAAAAATATTAATCTAAATTATTGCAACATAGAAATTAAAGAAACAGTAAAATTAACGGTTTATCTACCTGTGTCAGGATGGGTTTTTAGAGTTGTTTTCTAGAAAAAAATAGTAATTCTTAAAGCCACACATTGTGATATACTTTACCATTGCTTTGTGTAGCAGTCTTCCAGGAAAACTATTTTAAATTTGCAACAGGTCTATTTATGTGTGCATCCAGAGGATAGCCCTTAATGATTAAGGTTCCAGTTTTTCTTAACATATTTTCATTTTTTATTAGTGCCTAGTTCTCTAGACTTGGTGATACTCCTAGGAATTCCCTTAAATTTTAGGATCTCCTAAGACCTCTACATCCTAAGAATCCTGAAAACCAAAAAGTAGATGATTAGTTTCAAACCTTTCATTTCAAATCCAGGAGAAAATGAAACTAGTATCAAAGATGATAGAAATATACGACATTGGTTTTGCAGTTTTAAGTTTATCTAAATTTTTATCTTTTTATGTAAGAATGGTACTTTTTTTTCTTTTTAACTGTTTGAGAGTAAGTAGTTGACATACTGCTCAGTCACCCCCAAATATTCCAGTATCTATTTCTTACAAATAAGAACATTCTCCTGTATCACCACCTTTTGCCTTTTATCAAAAGGGTCTATATGCAGATTACATTTAGTTGTCATGTTTCTTCAGTGTCTTTCCAACTGGAACAGTTCTTGAGCCTTTTCTTGATTTTCATAACTGACAAATTTTGAATATTATAGGTTAGTTATTTTATAGAACATGCCTGCATTTAGTTTTGTCTGATGTTTTTTCATGCTTAGATTCAGATTGCACTCTCTCAAAAGGTTTGCTTTCTTTTTGCTGCCTTCCAAGTGGAAGTTGTGTTTGATTTGTCCACATTGATGGTATTTTATACCTTGGTCCCTTGATTAAACTTCTGTTAGAGCTCTCTATTACAGCATTCGTTTTCCCTTTGAAATTGATACCTATTTTAACTTGTATTTGTAATCAGTAAATATTTTGATTTGAAGGCAGTACTTTGAGACTGTATCAACATACTGTTCCTCCTCAAAATTATACCCTCTGTTTTTAGCACCCATTGTTGTTTCTTGGCTGGATTAACTTTACTGTGATAATTGCCAAATGTTGACTTTCTTGTTTAATCTTGATCCCTTTTTATGCCAAAATCTTAGCTCTTTGAGAGCAGATTTTCAGAAGTGGCATAAAGTTTCCATAGAGTTTGTAGTATCTTAGCAAAGTCACTAGCTAAAATTATTTTTAAATGAATAAGACAGAATATTTGTAGTAATATGTTCTTTTCAAAATTAGAATCCAAATAAAGTGTAAATAAGTTTTTTCTGTGGCAGGTGTGAAAAAGTAGGATGGCATTTATTGCATATAATAGCAGTCTAAAAATGTATATGATCAGAAGTACTCTCAATAAAATATGAATTATTTTCAATAGTAATAATGTTTACTGCTTATTGCTAAGGGTAGGTAACCTACCAGAGTTAAGTTTATGTTGATAACTGATTTCAGTGACAAAACTAAATACATTTTTATACATTAAACTAGAAAAATGTGTTTTTCATGCCGTAACAAGGTGTCATATATTCCATATATAACCATACTTGTGGTGTATAATTTGGGTGTACTAAATGTCTGCTTTGATGGATTGAAATTTAGGGTTATTTTCTCATTAGTGTCTTCTGTTGTGGTCTCTTGCTTTTACTTTCTAACAGTTATGGTAAATTACTTTAAATATACTAGACTTAAAATTTTGTCCATTTTGATTTTTTTTATATTTAAACCCATTTAATGGTTGGGTATCTTCTTCTTAAAAAGCATTTGTAAGCATTACCTTGATAGTCAGGAAATGATTGTACTTTAAGACTTCTGCCAGTACTTTTATTACATGATGTTCAAGGTAAGGAATAGCTTGAGATGTCCTTGAAGAATTTGTTCAGAAGACGTAATCAATCTAACATGGGGTTTTAAAGTCAGAAGATTTGTGGTCAAGCCCTGGTTCCCTAGTTTCTAGGTCTGTGGCCTTTGGGAAGTCAGTTAATATTTCTGAACCTCAACATCCTCAATTATAAATGGGGATAATAAATGAATTTAGCCTTCTGACATGGTTGTTGTGGGGATTATTTTTACTTAAATTCAGCAAATATTGGGGCTACAATGTGATAGGCACTGTTCTATATCCTGGATCAAATAAACAAAATATAAGTGAAAGTACCTGAAAACTGTGATGTGCTATACATATGTGATTATAATAATTATAAATCTGGGTCTGGTATTTATTTGATAGGATAGTACCAAAAGATTTTTAGATTAGAGTATTGTTCCCCAAAATATATTTCACAATACAAATTTTTCTTACGTTAATGAATTTTTCGGTGAAAAAGCATGTTATAGTTGAAGATTAGGAAATGCTGAATTAAAATTGAGCATTTTCTTCACTGTAATACTTCATAACCTTTAATGTGTGCTATGAATTTCTAAGAGTATATACGTATATACACGTACACACATATAGGTACATCCCTATATATATTATTTATACGGTTTACAAATGCATTTATTTTATGTGGCTTTACACAAACTTATTTGACTTTAGTATCTTTTATTTGGAGGACATCTTGTGGTTCTCTAGTGTTCTATGAAATACACTTTGGGGAATGATGGGCTTGAACTATAACTGAATCGTAAGATAGTTCTCCAAATGTGTTAGCTATTATGTTCCAGTTACCCTTGGATGATATCTTTCATAGCTAAAGTTGTTTGCCGGACTCTTCTTCTGAGGGGCACAGCAGTTATCTAGATAGTAACGATCAGATGTCCAGTAAAGGAAAATAATTTGAATTCATTCAAGATAATTTTTTGATATAATGTTGGATAACTTTACAATGCATATAAAGATGGTTGATAGTTACATTTTTTCAGAAAGTTTTCATTCGTGTGTCTGAAATACTTAACAGGTGATTTTTGACTAAAACAGTGATAGCTCCCTTTAATCTAGTTTTTATGAATTGCAGAGAACATTTCTTTGGCAATCAGACAACCTGGAATGTAACTCTAGCTTTGCTATGTGTGAAATAACTTTGTGGAGGTAATTACTATTCTCTGGGACTTAGTGTCATCTAAGGTGAACAAGGTGATTTTTAAGGTGTAAAGTTTTGTGAATCTGTGGAAATAAAGCAGTATTTGTTCCATCTACTGACTGCAAAGTCATTTCATCTTGGTGGGCTATAAATGCTGTATTTCATATGGTAAGCCCAAGGGTGAGTTCTGCTTTTCTCTTTTTACCTGTCTGTCTCCTAGGACAGACAAGCTTTCATAATTTAGGAGGGAAGAACTTGATAGTCCTGGAATGGCTCACATATTTACCCTGAAGCAATCATAAGGATTCTATGATTTGCTGGTTCGGGGCACCACAGGATCTCCCCTCTAATCCTGGGTATGTGTGTGTCAATCAGAGTGAGATTTTTCTGATTGTCACCTTCATCAAAATCAGATGATTCTCAAAGGAGATAGACGTGATAGATGGTTAAAATCAATAGATGTCCATTAAAGGACATGATATTTTAAAATTTATTTCCTAAAGCTTATTAATTGGTACAGTCTAATCTACTTATTAAGAAATAAACCAAGGTTGGGAAACTTTAATTCTGTTAAGTGTCACTGAAGAGAAAATAAAATCTTACATAAGTAAAAGTCAATACAGTATCTTAAAGATATGACATGCAAAAAATTGTATTAGTCTACCGTTAAGATTCACCTGAAGCATAAAACATTCAATAAATAATAAAACCATACTGCAGTTCATTATATAGTTCATTACAAAGTTTTGCTCAGTTTATGAATTTGAAAGGACTTACCAGACTCCACAGAGCATATGCAAATAAAGCTTTTATTTCAAGGCAAAGGATATCATCCTGCAGCAGGAGAAACATAATGCAGGTAAGCATTCTGAGAGACGTCCCATATCCAAGCTCCCACAGGCACTTATATGTACACAAGGATCGTGCTGAGTCTCCCTCCAACCACCATCTGACTTCTGAGGAACTCAATTTACCCTTTCAGTGATCAAGCCAGTCTTGCCAAACCAATTAGGCCCATTGCCAGCCATCAGTAAAACTGTTACACTCGGGATTACCAGGGGAGTTTTGGGGCGTTTTGGAACTTGAACAAGCATATCATAACTCCCATTGCCCTTGGCCAACACTCAAACTACACATTCAGATATCTCCAGTCCAGCTGGGGTGTCTTCACACTCATTAAAGAAAGAACACCCTCCCCATTTCAGACTAGTATTGTTAACGGTGTGATTCT